CGGTGGGATTCGAACCCACAATTCCCATTCAGTACACGGGTGCATTGCCAATTATACAACGGTGGACCTATGGTCTACGGATGTATTTAGCTAATGACATTTGAGTTTCGAATCCGTTCCCCACCCTAGTCTCTTTGCGCAAGCGTTCTCTGATACACAACAATCGTCTATTATCGACGATATGTGTTTGTACCGCAACCACTCAGTATCAGTCGATGTGAACAAACACAGCTCATTTTTGTTGTTCATCTTACATGCTGAAATATTTCCAGTACAGTATGACTCTAACATTTTGAGCTGCCGGCCTCACCTCCGACCACCGGGCCGTAGTTGATGAATATCAATTACTTTTACTTTTTGATTTACGGTTTAGCGACTTTGCAGTCAATTTAATTGTTTATAGGAAAGTTTGAACATACTGAGAGGTAAGCACATATCATCGGTAAGAGACGTGTGTGTGAGAAAATTTGCGAAAAAAAAAATCTAAGGGCACCGGTGGGAATTGTGGGTTCGAATCCCACCGGTGCCCTTAGATTTTTTCGCAAATTTTCTCACACACACTTCTCTTACCGATGATATGTGCTTACCTCTCAGTATGTTCAAACTTTCCTATAAACAATTAAATTGACTGCAAAGTCGCTAAACCGTAAATCAAAAAGTAAAAGTAATTGATATTCATCAACTACGGCCCGGTGGTCGGAGGTGAGGCCGGCAGCTCAAAATGTTAGAGTCATACTGTACTGGACATATTTCAGCATGTAAGATGAACAACATAAATGAGCTGTGTTTGTTCACATCGACTGATACTGAGTGGTTGCGGTACAAGCACATATCGTCGATAATAGACGATTGTTGTGTATCAGAGAACGCTTGCGCAAAGAGACTAGGGTGGGGAACGGATTCGAAACTCAAATGTCATTAGCTAAATACATCCGTAGACCATAGGTCCACCGTTGTATAATTGGCAATGCACCCGTGTACTGAATGGGAATTGTGGGTTCGAATCCCACCGGTGCCCTTAGATTTTTTTTTTCGCAAATTTTCTCACACACACGTCTCTTACCGATGATATGTGCTTACCTCTCAGTATGTTCAAACTTTCCTATAAACAATTAAATTGACTGCAAAGTCGCTAAACCGTAAATCAAAAAGATGACTTTATCGTCATTGCAAAGTGCACAGTGGGGAATCGCTGGCCATTAGATAAAATTGGAAAATTTGCATTTCCTCCTCTATTCTATTTTTTTTTCTATCATCTTTATTATTTTTCGACAAAAATGGCATTATTACTCAATCAACTGGTGGTTTAACAGTTGCTTGGATTGAAATGACGTCTTAGAAAGTTGTTTTAAAAACAATGTAGAACAAATTTGCTTTATTAAATTTTGTGGAATATTATCATCATAAGTACATCTTTATTTGATTAAAAAAAAAAGTGATTTTTTCATAAAAATTAAGCTTCAAACTTATGAAGCCAGGGATTGCCATGGTTGACACCAATTGCAAAAGGTAGTTAAAAATGCAAAGTTTCGAATGAGCATAGCCTGATCTTGAGCAAACTTGCGCAGGATGCTGATAGTGCGAAATGAAAAAAAAAGTTATTTTTACTCAGGTGACATTCTACAATTTTAAATTTGAATCACGATCAGGAGATTGGTTGATTGCTCATTTTTAGTGCATAATAACAGCTAATTTTCCTTATCTACACATCATTCATAAAAAAAATTCTGTTATTAGGGACCATAAACTGTATTCACGTAATAGTTTATGGAAGCACAAAGAGTTCTAAGATTTTCTTACGTGCCATATTTTTTTCGGATTTGTTACAAAAAATGTAAGGAAGGGGTTGAAAATCATAAAAAAAATGTATGACGCATTTAGTGTACGACCCCCCTTAGGCTTAGTTTATCTCCTCCTAAGAACTTGAAAACAGCATCGAAAAATAAAAATTATTCAATTTACACCAAAACTGATCTGCAAAGGACCGTTTTTAGTCTGCATTATTTTTTGTGTTTTTCAACAAGCAGAGATAAGGCAGAGTCTTTAGTAAAATAAATAAGGAAAAGTGATCGACATATCATACCACTTCATCTCTCTCCCAAACAAAGTAGCAGCAGCAGTAAGAAGATATCAGCATCACTTTATCCATATTTTTTTACAAATACGTTTTATCGGTTTGAAGTTATTGTTATATCAGTTATCATCGAAATTAATTATGGAATCCAAATCAGCGATGGATACGGATACTGTAAATTCAAGTAAGTTGCCTTTTTGAGAACACATTAATTGCGATGAACTACTGTCTATACGAGAGTGATCGTCCGTACTAACAATATTTTTTTTTTGTGTGGGTAATTTCTTTAAGTTTTATGTCGTGAAATAGTGATCTAACATTTCGTAGTATCTTTTCAATACCGTCATAAAAATCGTTTTGTTTTCATTTAATCTAAAGGAAACGGACTAAAAAGAAAACAGATTTACGAAACATGAAACATCAAGAATCGCTAGAAAAGGTGAAATCAGCCGCGGAAAAATGCTTTCCTTCGCATGCGAATAAAGGGTTTGAGATTTTTTTGGAAAGCATGTAACAGAAAATTTCTACAATCCCAACGAAAGCGTGACCGCTTTGAGATGGAACATTTAGATTGATTTGAGGAATATGTAATACCACCATCTGATGCACCTTGGCGGCTAGCAAAATCAAAGCTTTTGAAGAATGCAGTGATCGATCGAAGCGGCACCGTACTGAAGAAATTAGAGCAAAATATTCGTCAAATCAATTAAGCTTTGCTGCGGAAATGAGTTTGCGTGCCGAAAACAATTACAAAGCAGCAAATTTAATTAAATGGGGTATTGATCTCAACAACCAAAACACTCAAATCACACCTGAGAAGGCGTTATCGATTGTAGAGATTTCTAAACTGACGAGATATAATTACAACATTATTAGGGAACCAGTAACAGACAGGTCTTAAGTTTAATGTAAGGAGTTTGTATGCAAAATACAATGGTTTTATTATTTCAGGTACCCACCGTACTACCAAGTAAAAGAGCGAAAAAAGAATGTTATCCCCCACAAAACGCATTTTTTGTCACAGTGCAATGTGAAGATTGATCTCCAAGCTATTCTAAATAAAACCAGTTAAAGGTTGATGCTGCTTCTAGAAAGTACTATTAAACCCCGATTGCAACATGGTAAGGAGGAGCATTTTACTTTGCGTATCACTTGACCTTCAAATGCTTGAGAAAATCTGGGTTTGAAACGAAGTTCGAGGCGAACAAGAAAAGAATTCAGGCAAGCTTCAAGAGAAAAATGGGTCTGATTGTCAAAAAACCGAAGCCAGGAGGATTCGGCAACAGCAACAGCTCGTAATTTTGTTTTGCCAATCCTGAATTCAGTTCCAAAATCACAGGAGTAGATTTGGAGTTGATTAAAAGACTTTGGAACATTCTAATTGCAATTTCTTGTTCCCAGCAAATAGACCCAGCTAAATTCAAAATTTACTATGTTGATACCGCGAAGCGCTACGTAGAGTTGTACGCTTGGTTTTACATGCCATCGTCGATGCACAAAATTTCGATTCACGGGCATAGCATTGCTCAGGTGGTGATATTGCCGATTGGAAGAATTACGGAGGAGGCTCAAGAAAAATGTAACAACGTCATTAAAAACACTAAAGAGCATTTCCACTCGGAAAGACAAGCATGAAAACACAAATTGGGATATTATTAATCGCCTTCTTATCAACACCGATCTAATGGTTAACTCTTATTATCAGAAGAGAAAACATAATTTTAAAAGTCTACCGGAGGAAGTTAAATTTCTGATCAAGACAAATATACTGACTCAAGCGATATGGTTCCAGAAGATGATGATGATGATGATGATGGTGAAAAATCAGAATTAGAAGAAGAATATGATGATGCTGATGATGAGGAAGAAGTTTAACTAGAAGGAAAATTCAAATTTTAATTTTTAATTTGTGTTGTTTATTTATAAAAACTTTATTATTAGGTAGGGTAAATGGATGTAATGTCGGCCTAAATGCCCCTAATTTGGGCCCATACATAAATTCAACAATCTACTAAATTAGTAACGTCCCAATCACGCGTTCATCTAGATTAAATTGATAAATAGTAGATTTTTAGCGATGGGCCCAATCTTAGATCCATAGGCCAACGTAAGAGCCATTTCCCCTATATTTTAAGCAAATGAAAAAAGTTTTCTAAGCATTGTTTAAAAACAAAAATCTTCATTGTATGACCATCATTCACAGTTACAGCGTATAAAAAATTTAACAAAAAATAAAATACAAAATCGTTTATAGCGTAAAAAATACAAGTTATAATTCAAAACATATTACATTTATGGATTCAGCACCATAAAATTACTCAAGAAAAATGATTTTTTTTTTAAATTTAGAGAATTATTTGCTTGGCCAGACTTTGTATGGAGTCGCCCCACTGTGCGACGCCAGGAAGGCACCTGGACCCTACCTATCTACCCATCAACTCATAAACCGGGGACCAACGACTTTACTTCCCTTCCGAAAGAAGGCGTGATCAGTGATGTTAAGCCTCAGAACATCCCGGTGGCGCTGACTGGGATTGAACCCAGGCCTGCTGGGGTGAGAAGTATTCACGCTTACCACTACACTACTGGCGCCACAGTACATTAACGTTAACGCCATTTAATCAATGGCATCAACAACATTGTCCCTAAGCGTTCGGAAAATGCTTATTAAGTCCGTATTGGCATGTACGTGTATATGTATTTTGAAAAAATTTTAGAATTAGCTTCTACAATAAGCCTTAAAATATTATTCTGAAAGAAGCTTTTAAAAAAAACCCCATAGTTAAAAAACCCACGCGGTAAAGTAACTTCGCACTAATTGAGCTTCTTTTTCAAGGTTCAGGGAGCATGTCACCGAAAAAATAGTTAATGTTACTGTTTTCATAGACCTGTTTATCATTGAAAATCATCTATTCTACATTTGCAGTTTATAGAGAAATTCCAGGAAGTAAAAGAGGCTACAAAAAATGCACTTAACAAGGCTTCTGCTAATGAAAATTCAACAGTTACTTCCGCAAATGCATCCCCTGTTACAGCACGTTCTTCAATGTCAAACAGTGACAGCTTCGACCCCAACAACGTTGATGTTCCGATTCCCGCAACTGGTAATGTTTCCTCGGTACGGAAGCTCTGCAATTCAATAAGATTTAAAATCAAGTGTCAAATGTATTTTTAATTTCAGAATATCAACACTGAGAGTCCTTCCCATCCTACTATCAATGATGCTCTCATCAATACGAATCCTCTCAGTATCGAACTTAAACAGACATCTATAAACTCATCATCTAGCGATGGCATGACACCTTCTTCTGCAGAACAACAACTCAAATATGAAAACGAACGGTTAAAGCTGGCTCTTGCTCAAAGGTAACGATTAACACTAAATACATGCATAAACTCTAATCCAGTCAGTAAGGTTTTATTGGGTTTTTGAATAGCGGAACTGTTCGGTAAAAGTTTATAAATCTGGCCAAAATTCAAAAATATTAAAATTTATTTCGAACTTGTACAGACTTAGTTCTGTTAACCCCATTTAATCATATATTATTTTATTAACGGATAACGGTCATTTGAATTTTTACCGACTTTTTCAGTTATACTGACTCTAATGGTGGTAAGCCCAACTCGGATTAACATTTAATCCCTTGCCTATTTGGATGATCTGCAAAATGTTTGCTTAGAGTAGTGTTGATTAAATCTGATGTTGACATCAGAGCAGCCGGACATTCTTTATCGGTATTTAAGCCGAGGATAATACCAGTTGGAGCTTACCACCATAAGTGTGTACATGGGGCAGTTTGGTCATCTTAAGTAAATCATCACTAATAACACCAAATTCAGTGTAAATTCGAATGATTTGCAACTCAATCAATAGTTCCAATCCCCTTATAGACTACCCGTCATAAGTATGGACTCGCATAGAACAATATTGCAATACTCATTTGAATATTGAGTTAAAATCCCTCTGAATCCCTTGAAAAGTTTATGATCACTCAAAGAAAATGTGTCTACGCGTTTGGAATTACTTCAGAAAGCACTGAAGCAGTGTTTTTAAACACTTCGGAATGTATTTCATAATAAAAAAAAAGTTTAGAATCATATCAAAACAGCTCGAAATCACTTCGTTCACTGAATCATTTGGAAACAGTTCGGAATCACTTCGGAAAGAACTGAATCGCTTCTTACAGTTTGAAATCACTTCGGAAAGTACTGAATCACTTAAGACAAAAATTGAATCACTTCGGAAAGTAGTTAATAACTTCCGAAATATTAGGAATTACTTATGAAAATACCGAGTCACTTCAAGAATGTTCGGAATTACTTCGAAAAGGACTGGACCGCTTAATATAAGTTCGGAATCACTTCAGAAATTACTGAATAACTTATGAAAAGTTCAAAATCACTTCAGAAAAGTTTAGGCTCACTTCGGAAAGTGCTGCATCACTTCAGAAATGTTATCAATCACTTCGGAAAGTACTGAATAACTTCGGAATGTATTGTATCACTTTAGAAATATTCAGAATCACTTCGTATCGTACTGAATTGATTCAGAAAAGTTTTGAATCACTTCAGAAAGCACTGAATAACTTTAGAAATGTTAGGAGTCACTTTAGGAGTACTGAACTTAAAAAAGTAACAGGTTGTATCCAAAACACGACCGTAAAGCAACAACTCGCGTGGTCTTTCTTTTTTTGTTAAATGAAAGACAGTGCAATTCCATTTCTACTGTATGGAAAAAGCTCTTTGATGAATCATTTATCCTGAGGTTGGAACTGTGCTCGTCCGCACCTAGCAAACCTCGAATAATAACTCATCAGAACAACTGCCCCGATTCTTTATTCTTCGAAACCTTTTATACATGAATTTGTTACATAAACTCTACACAATAGTTTTTCTCCAGCGAGACAGATAGTTTTTCTCTTGGAAAGTCGGTGTCTGCTTTTTTTACAAGAATTGATGCTCCCCGCGGTAGGAACGGCTATGTAAGATGTTTAATGTTTACTTTGACCTTTCGCGAAGCACCAAGTTAAGCCAGCGCGCACCGCAGACGACGCGGTAGCAACTGTTTATAAACAACTTACCCCGGAAATGTGCGACATTGTCCTACCGAATACAATTACTGCATGAGTAACGGGGTCTATTACTGGTTAATTTCTTACTCAGATTGATATTGGAATTTGAGGCCTTTGCATCCCCTCTTACTTAACCAACTTGAGAATAATATCGAAGAGATTCTTCTCAAAGATATGCGCTGGTAACTATTCTATATTTGCTAAATTTTTTAATGGATCTTCTTATTATGGTTCTTACTCCTACTGTGCCTTTCTTAAGACCCTACTTTGTACTATTCAGTATTATTCAGTCGATCATACTTTAACTAAATTTTGTCATTTGGCTAAATCATCTGTGTTAACAAGTTTTATCATGTTAGCCTCTAATGGACACCTTATGCAACGTTTGTTTGATTCGAAAAAAAACGCGTTTTGCTGATATGAAAATTTGCCTATCTATGCCTTACGTTAATTATGCG